GAATATAGCACTTTTCAAAGTTTTGTGATTTGAGGGAGGATAGGAAAAAACTAAGGAAGAATGAAAGAATGGTGTTTCTTGTTTTGTAAATCCCGAGGTCCACAGTGTGGGCCAAAACTTACCCTGGATTATTTACTATGAACCACTACAAATAACACAAACGGAATTTAAATTACCTATTTGTCCAAACACTTAAACTCCCTTGATCTGAATGGAAAGCAAAAGGTAAAAAACATTTCAGAGCTCACAGATGCCCTGAGCCTGTATTCTATCAAATGTAGGGAAAAAAAGAGTAAATTGCAAATTGAGCAAAATAAAATAGAAACAAAGCATAAAAATCCTGTACTCACTCACACAGATAAGTGATCTCATAAAGCTAGATTCTAACTGAAACAATATGGAAAAACCTCTTCAAATTCAGTGTTAAGTAGGAAAAGATTAGCAATCCATTTTAAAAATCAATGCTTTGAGTTCTTGTTTTTCCTATGTATCTAGTAATTGTTTTTAAATTAGGGGGACAGAGACAAGAGGAGATGAGCAGGAGTGTTGTTAGGGCAACCAGAAACAAAGTAGAAGCTAGAGACAAAGGTTAGAGAGAATGGTGGAAACTGGGAGGGAGTGAGAAGTCACAGCTCAGAGAGATGTGCCCAATCCAAGAAAGGGAAATGTGGGAAAAGGTCCTGCAATATGGAAATATCATATAAGAGAAATACACCCACTTGAATAAATGGAAAACTTACCAGAAATTAGTAACTTCCTTCTGCATTTTTCACATAGCACTGACCATAACTTTTACACAGAGGAACTTCTCAGGTGACCACCATCAGTGCTTCTAAGCACTGTTAACTGCCTCGAGAGGCCTCCTCCAAGTCCTTGAATACCTAAGAGCTCTTGGGTTTTTCAGTTTGGGCTCAGGGTGTAGAGAATCCAGTCACAAGAAAATTTTTCATAAGAAAAATTAGTGTGTACATCTTCATAAGATACATATTTTTATTTTTTCTTTTAATACAGTTGTGTATGCAATACAGACAGAAGCCAATCTTCTAGTAACATCCTAAGAGACATTTTTATGAACTTCAGAGTAGGAAGTAAGTAAGGTACACCTTCTGACAAGGATATATTAATGCTTATATTTCCGTGAAAGGATCTTAAAAGGCTTGTGGGAAAACTAATGTTGTTATCCACAGATAAAAATAATAGAAGCAAAAAAGGTAGCAGGTCTTTTCAAGGTCAGTGAATCAGTGAAATAGCAATTCATTGTAAGACCCATGTATTACTCATAAAATATACTTGTCTTTTTCTGCCTGAAGAATTCTTTTTCTCCTCCCAATTAATTTTTTTCTCCCTATTTTTCTCTCTTGCTTTTTCTTCAGTTTATTTTTCCTCACTTAACCTCTTTCTCTGATGCTAAAAAAAGGACAAAAGGTGAAAACCTACAGGAACCAGCATAGTCAGACCTCTTGTCTTTTACTGCCTTTTTACTGTCCAGCACTGCCTTTTAATTTGTGGGAGAGAACAGCAGGGGAGATCATTTCATTCTATATACATTGCTGACATGTGGAATCAGAAATACAGTCGCACTCCTGACTTCCTTTGAGAGTGGCTCCCTCAACCAGGAAACAAGTCCCTTAATGAAGCAGCCATGCAGCACCAGGGCAGCTCAGCAGCCTTTGTTCTGATATTCAAATCTTGTATGCGTGGCACTATTTTTTAGCAGCTCTACTCCTAATCTTGCTGCATTTATAGGTGTGTTGAATTTTCAGGTTTGAAAGCAGTAAAAAATAGCTCAATCTTTCTCATTTATTTGCAAAAGTCCCATTTTTGTCACAACTGTCTTATTTTGAATGTAAATGTCCCAGATTTGGGTTTCTTAACTAAAGGAGGAGGTATAATGTAGAAGATACAACAATTAAAACTATGAAAAATACACTTTCATGTCTCTGAATGTTTGTTTATTCTTTTAGCTTTTCTCACTTTAAATTCCCCAAATCAAGATATAAAGCACATGAAAGGTTTGGACTATTCTGCCTTTCACATCATTAAAATGTAGCGCTGTTCTCAAGATAAGCTTTGTTGCTGTCTGATAAATATTCATAAAATATATTGAATATATTCTGAATGCAATTCAATAGAGTTCTGTAATCTCACAAAAATAAGTACTTCTAAAAAATCCTATCCGCTCTGCTAAAATTACCTTTACTTTTATACAATTTTCTCAGCTAAAAAAAACCCAAAAACCAATAGTAAGAGTTAAGCATTACATTGTTATATCTTGCAGGCACAGAATTATTAGAAACTTTTCTAGGATTGTGGGTTTTTATGCTGTGTGATAAGAGTAATGTTGCAGAAGCTGATAGGTGTTGAAGCAACACCAAAAAATTAAGGAGCAGTGTAGAGTCCCGTCAGGATTGCAAGTCTGTGCTGTGCTTCAGGGACACGTACATGATGTGAAGGGCTGTGTGGTTTAGGTGGGATGGGTACAATTTGCATAAAGCAAAACACAAATATTTGAATTCAACTAAAATATAAGCTAGACATTGTCAAGGTACTCTTCCTTGAAGTCTTTATTTTAAAGTACGAAAAAAACGAGGCGGGGAGGTGCCGGGGCAGAAGCACGCCCGGCCGCCCCGTCGCAGCCATCCCGTGAAAGTACTCAAGGACTGGGGGGAGAGGGATTTGGGGAAGGGGAGAGTTCCCCGGGAAAGGCGGGCTGAGGCGTGTGAGGGAAGGGCAGCCGGCGGGGCGCTGGGGCGAGGAAGGGCCGCTCCGTCGCGCTGAGTGTTGCGCCTAACGCCGCCGCCAGGCCGTGCTTCCTCCGCCCGTTGCAGGCCCGTCCCCCGCCGGCGCGCGTCAGCTGGGCGCGAGGCGGAGCTGAGGAGCGCGACGCGTGCCGGGAACGTGCCGGGAGCCGAGGCGGCTGCGAGGACCGATGGATCCCGAGGGCGCGGTGAGGAGCCCGGCGGGGCCGCGGGGCCGGGCAGCCGCCCCGGAGGGCGGGAGGGCGNGGGCGGGCGGGCAGCGGGGCCGTCCCGCTGGGGCGCCCCGGCTCGCGCCCGCCCGCGCGGGGCCGCCATTTTGTCCGTGGCGGCCTCAGGCTGTGGAGAAGCCGCTGGCGGCCCCGGGTGTGCGGGACACGGTGCCGGGGCAACGGGGTCTGCCTCGGACCTTACAGCACACGGACTGCGGAAAGTAGAGGTGTTTTGGGAGATAAGTGCGCTTAATCACCAGGCCTTCGTGGAGTTAGGTTGTCTAACTGGGGGTGTGCTCAGTGCAAAAATGAATATAGTGATTCTGCTAACGAACAGTTGCCAGACGCACTAAGTAATCGATAAAAATATTGGTGAATGTATATATCTGTATTATTTGGGAAAATTGGTAAAAAGGAAGTTTACAAAACAGTAGAAAAATATTTAGGCAAGTGGTGTGCTGATGCCACGTATCTGGTTTTTGTAATACTCTTATTGCCATGCTGATGATAAAGAGGTGTTATCACAATACAAATTTTAACATGCAACACTTTAAACTCACTGCGATTTACGGTATTCACTATTGTGAGTTCCTAAGTGCTGTGATTCATTCCTCGTTACTTCCATTGGGGTATTTGCATTTGCAGCTTATTTTAATATATCAGCTCTTAAAACGTGTACAGAGATAAAGCAATTTGGGCTCTTTAAAGTAAGGAATACATTTTTGCTGTTCGGTCAACTGTTAATTGTTAAAGTTGAATGCAGAAGTTTTTGTGCTGAAGACAATTGCCAGATGATTGTACAGTTGGAGCCTTGTCTTTGGTGTGAGAGATGGAGAATGTAACCTGTCTTGTCCCTCAGGAGTTTTTTTGCTGCAAAAAGAAATCCTCTTGGGGACTGTAGTGACTGTGTTGGTTCCTTGCCTACTAGAGGTGAGGTTTGTTCAGGTTAGTACTCTAGGGTAGTATTCCCAGTAGGAGAGATACATATTAGATTCTCTTGAACAGATCAGGTTAACAACCTCAGGTTTTTCCTCTGCCCCAAGTGTGTGTGTTTTAGTACATTCAGAAAGGACTTGTGTCTTCTCTAAAACTGAAATTGTGTGAACTAAGCTGGATTTATTGTCTTTAAGATATCCACAATAATAGCATTAACCCATTACTTAGAATTAGTAGGAGTAACTCTTAGGTAGCTAAAGAAGTATTAAATAATCCTGTTGGAGAAGTTAGTGACAACACCATGTGGCTGCTTTTCAGCTATCATCTTCACAGTTAGGATTGACTTTATAAGGCACTACTACTTTGTTTTGAAAAGAGTTTACAATAAAATTGTTTCACAGTTCACAAGTGTAAGCATGCTGCAAGTTAAAACATCAGGCAGGCTTCACCAAATAATGATCTCCATGATATCCCATTGAGTTATGTTCCTTTACTGGAGCGAGAGCAATCTGATTGTTCTTTTGCAGGAGGAATTTCTGTTCAGACCGCTGTGTTTGTAGGCCAGGAGGGTGTTGAATTAAAATAGACCTGTTCTCATCTGGTGTGTGGAGCTTGTTGATTACCTGTGGTGGAATTATGGGTGCTCAGCACTTGGAAAATTAACCAGGTGCTGTTGCAGAGAATAGAGTTGTGTAGATGTATGTGAGAGCACAGATTGAGTTTAAAATGTCCATTCTATGTAGGTTGAAAATAAGGGCTTCTAGTAGAGAGAAGATACGTTGTGTAATAGAATTGATAACCTGAAATTTGTGCAGCAGGGTGCTTTGCAAATTGAACAAAGATTGGTGTCCAGTTTGGAAGAGTGTCAAACACTGGACTTCAGACCATAGTGTATTCACCAATTTACTGAATTGATTAAGATTGAGCTTGTGTTCAAACACTGAGCTACATTCTGAATAAAAACACATGGTTAATGTTCAGCATCTTCTGTGCCTTCTGAAAAATTCTGTATGTATTGTCTGTTGAGAATTGCTTCATTTACTGGTAAATAATGTGTAAGATTTTGAAAATGTTTTCTTTCAATCAGCAGGCCACTGATCAGATGCAAACAGAATCTTTACCTTCATGTCCCAACACTGTGTCACCGGTGAGGTTAAATAATCTGATCGGTTCTCCAAGGTTTGGAACAGTTACTCCAAATCGTGTCTTTGTTGGAGGAATTGATTTTAAGGTATTCTTCCCTCTTTTTGCTATTAGATTATAACAGTATAAAAATCAACAGGGGAAAAAAGAGAGACATAGTCATGTGTATTTGTTTAGTTGGTAAGTCTTCTTTACTTTAATAGCCAAACCTACAGTAGAGAGTAAAGCTTTAAGCCATCATTTGGGTAACTGTCCTACAAAGTTGACTGTACCCCTAGCTGCTAGAACCTTTTGACACCCCACTTCTTCAGAGTTTTCTTTTTTCATAGAAGATAGCTTTTGTCATCAGCAGAGCTGGTGGCAGAAATGCATGTAGAACGTTTTGTTTATGTATACCACTTAGTGTAATTTAATAAACTGTCACAATGTTTCATATAGCCTGTGGGCAAACGTCAGTGGCTTTTGTTCCTCTAACACTTCTGGTTCACACAAAGAATTACAGTGTGTATATTCCTCACCATAGTAATTTTCTTAAAGGCAAGAGTTTGTTTTTAAAAGAAGTATGTAAACTTCTCTGGGTAATTTGCAGTATTGATCTGAATTCTTAGAAAGCTCGTGCCTTTGTGTATTCCCTAAAATCTTTAAATCGCAGTGGACGTTGGGCCACTCTTACCTTGTTCAGTTGCTTTTAACGTTTGTGATAAGCTTAAGGTTAAGGATTTTTCTCTCTTCCCACTTTAGGTAATTAATTAAGCCATTGACTTTTGCAAAACGTGCTTGGTCTGCTTAGCTGTTGCTTTGTTCCCACCAAGAGTATCTTCCCTGCATTAATCGTCCTAGACCTTCTGATTACTGACTCATTTGAAGAGGAACAAGAATTGACAATTCACTCAGACTGTTTTGCATGACAAATGCAAGAAATTCCAGAATCTATTATTTTATTTGGCAGGGATAATTCAAATAGAGGTGTTCATATTTTAAGATGTGCAGGACCTTCAGTACATTTAGACCTCATTAAAGTGGCACAGTAGCTTTTTTGCACCAATAGTAAGCAAATTTCTGGAGCTATAAAAAGACCTTTCCTACTCTCTTCTGTCTTCACTGCAATTTCAAAGGTTAAAATACTTTTCTGTCTAACATCAACATTTTTATTAATTATCATACTGATCATTTTGAAGGGTCTCTTCACTTGGTTCAGTTGCTGATACTTTAAAATTTATTATGAAATTGTATTTTCAACAGCAGTTTAAACATTTGTAATCATAAAGAGGATGGAGTTTTTTTGCAGAGGCATGAGGAAATAGAAAGGATGAAACCTCTGTAGCCATTTTAGTTGCTCTTCCATTTGGTATGATTCTTTATACCAAATACAGCCTTAAATTTCTGATCTTATCCTCATAGGGTTTATATGTCAGTCTTGAATTGCTTTCTATTGGCAATCTCGTGGCAAAAAGTATTGGGGTTTTTGGGGTATTTTTTTAAGCCAAAGGTCTTATTCAAGTCACTTGGGGTGGTGGAAAAGCTATTGACTTTATTTTTGTGGAAAAGGGAGACCGTTAATCCACAAAAAACTTACTTGCTTTCTAGCAAGCTCTTTTATGATTTTGCCATTTTGTCTATCACCATGGCAGTGATTCCTGTTTTCAAGAGGAAACACCTGGTCTCTCAAATTTAGAGAAACAATTCAGCAAGGGAAGTTAAGAGTTGGGAACCTTTTCATCTTGGTCTGAAGAGCCCTTTCTTTAGGGGTGCAGGCCATGTGTCACTGACAAGGGCTAATGCTAAGTCTTTACCCTCCTTGAAGAATCTGACAGATGCCTTTGTCTTATCTTAAGCAGGAAAAGGCAAGTCCTACATGTGTTTCGCATAAGTTTCTAAATATTATGGTTGCACAGATTCTTGCAGATTTCACTGTGCATCTTAGAACAGCATTTCCTTCTTACTCTGCATCAATGCACTGCTCTGCACATAAACCTTTGTCTTTCCGAATTCATAGTTCCATGTAGCAAGCTCTTATGTCCTTGGGTAGTACTTTGGGCACCAATCAATTTCAGGCTTGTATGAGACACGTAAACCTTTGATGTGCTGGAGAGGATTCCCTAAATTGTGTGCAAACAATCAAAGTCATTAACTAAGAAGTAAAACAGTACTTGTTATACTTGAAGTTAAGGAGAGTATAGATGAATGGTGTGTGCATATAACTATGCTTCTGCCAGTGTGAGGTGTAGCATTAGCTAAGGGCTATGTAGAACAAAAAACTCAAACATGATGCTTACTGCATCATATGTGATATATGCTTACATTGTAAAGCGATATTCATAGAAGGCAGAGGAGTGTTCACAAAGCTTAGGTGAGTCTTTACGTTAGAAAGTTTCTTATTCTCTGCATACTTGGAAGGGGGGCAGTTCCTTCCAAGTTGCCTTAGACCACTCTCCATTGAAATAACATTTTCTTAGTTACAGTGGGGAGTTTGTATAGTATGCCTGTACGTGTTTGCAGACTCTCATGTCAAAACCACTTCAGAAAGAGGGATCATGGTATATTCAATGGATTTGACCACTAAATCCCTCTGGTTTAGGGGGGTTTGTGTGACCTGTGTATATCTATATGCTCTGCTGTGTTACAGTTGAAAGCATGGCAGTGATTTTTTGTACTGTAAACTGCTCTAGCATGTAATTAACAGAAATTAAAATTCAGATCTAGCACCCCTGCTTCATTGATCTTAACTGTAAAAGTTGTTGCATAAATCTACTCATGAGAAGTTTTAATGAGAAGTTTCTAGAATTACTGTTGAATAATTAATGCAGTAGTTAAGTGGGCCCTGAGGCTCATTCTTCTGTCCTCATATGCAGGGTTATAATTAGTTTGTAGCAAACTTCATCCAAAGTACATACATTAATAGTCTTAAGGTAAACATTGAACTAATTAATTGAATGACTATGCAAACCAACTTTTCCTTTTTTTTCCCCTCTTGATTTACTGTACTAGACTAATGAAAATGACCTGAAGAAATTTTTTGCTCAGTATGGCAGTGTGACAGAAGTGAAGATAATAAATGACAGAGCTGGAGTATCAAAGGGGTTGGTATAGTAGAATAAGTGTATTGTGGAAATTGAAAATAACAGAAAGCTGACTATAGTAAATTTGATTGATTTTTTTTAATAGCTCATAATATTTTATCACTGATGTTTCAGTTATTCTGTGTGTGCAAAAATCTGTTCTTGCCCTATAATATCTCTATATATGTCTCCAATTTGCATAACTAAAACTGTATTAGTCATGTTGTAAGATGAAGCTGTGTGTAGCTAGGACAGAATCAATAGTTGACGTTTTTTCAGGTTTTCTTAGTGACTATCACTTAAGTAGATTATCCTAGCAAGGTTATTTAGTTATTAAATATATTTCTATTACTGAAAGCCCATATGGAAAGGAGCCAAAAGTGGAGGAAGAGCTGAGATACACCTGATTGTGCTGGAGTGCATGGCAGTAACAGATTTTTCTGTGAAGATTTTTGGAACAGCAGCATAGAGGACAAATCTGATGACTTAAAACATGAGCTAAATCATGATTACTTACAATGGAGACTGAGACTGGAAGTCACCAGTAGGAGGAATGACAAAGAACAAATACAGAGAAAGATTAAGATTGCATAGTAAAATCATTGCTGTAACCCAAAGGATGGTGTTGCCAATAAGGTGGGGAAGCACACTGCCAGCAAAGGGAGGAAAGAGGGCTGAAGCAAAAAGGAATGTGCATGAGGGTTCACCTCTTAAGTCCTCTCCTGAGGAGTAAGGACAGCTTTAGTGCTGTCAGAGCTTAACATGTATCAGCAAGTTATGTGCTGAGCTGCAGCTCTTAGTACAGAGAGTGCACTTGCATGACTTCAGAGACTTGGTCCCAGATCTGTCACCCCGCCTCTTGCCCTTTTAGTAAATTCCAAGAAGTATCTGAGAATTGCAGTGTGTGTGTGTGTCCATATAACCCATATTAATTATGCAGTTGTGATTACCAACATACAGTATAATATTAACTTTAAAAAAATCCCAAGTGTCTCGTCTTGGTCACCTCAACAAGTGAAAGGTCTAGATCAAAATCTTTTTTTAATAGAAATGAAGAAATTTTAAAACATCGGCTGAGTAACAAGAACGGCTGGTCATTCGTGGCAGTATATTGCCACATACTTGAATGTAATTAAAAAGGTGCTAAGAATGCAGTTAATTCAATCTTTACTTCTAGGTTGTTTTTTTTACCCATTAATTTACCTTGTAATGTCACTTGTACTGTATATCAAGTAACTATGTGCTGTGTTTGTAAATACAAACTTTAGTGGCTTAACTTTTGTTACTTTTGTTTAGGTATGGCTTTGTTACATTTGAAACCCAAGAAGAGGCACAGAAGATTTTACAAGATGTAAGTGACAGTCCCCATTATGTTTGTCTCTTAAATGAATTGATTAATTTCATACTAGGCCTGAGTACTCTGGTCCTCTATTTGCAAAGTTGCATTTGAAGATAAGTTTGGTCTGATAGTTGAAATAGTTTAAAGAGAGCTAAGATAAGATTTTTTTAATATGAAATTCTGATCATCCTCTGATTTTTTTTTTTCTTTTGTCCTACTCTTCTATTTTGAGTAATGCTTCCAGAACTTCCTTTTATGTTGCAGTCTACTAACTGTGTGTTAGTATTAAAAACAGACTTTGAGGAGTTTCACCAGGTTCCAGACATATCCTAGCATCTGGTTTCAACATAACTACTCTCATGCTCAGTGTGTCTAACCTACTAAGTTATTTTTTACCTCTCAGATACCTAGATCTGTGTAGAAAATAATAATGTCTAATTTCTTTAATTCTAGGCTAAAAAGCTCAACTATAAGGATAAGAAATTGAATATTGGACCAGCAATAAGAAAACAAGTGCGGAGTCCTAATGCTCGTATGTGTTTTTACTTGCATTTGTGTATTGTCAATATGAATATAAGTTTTTAACCAAGATGTGCCTGGTCTTACACTGCATTAATGCTGTGTCTGGCATGTGCTCAGAATGGTTTGCAGTGGAAGTAAATGCATGCAAGTGGAAATGTTGAAATAAATAGATTTATGGTGTCTTGGTTCTTTTATCTCTCAATATGTTGTTTCTTTTACTTTATTGGAGAGAGTTACCTATGTAGGAACAAACTGAATGGAAATTCAAGTTGCCTGGCAGAATCTTAAATCTAAACATTCAGTGTGTCTTGACAGGTTCTAAGGATAAAGCAGGCTCTGCTGGTTAGTGGCATTGTTATTCATTGATTATTTTGTGTAATTAAAAACCCATTAGGATTGTTGCATCTTGCTTTCTTTGGTAGAAACCATAAGAAATGAGTGGTTGTAGTCCTCACTCTCTTTTTGAGCTGTTTGTTCTAAGCTATTGAATGGATACTGAAAATGTAGGCTATAAATCACCAACTTTTCAGATGAGATCTGTCAGTTGTCTTCAGTAAGGGCTGTGTGTCAGAAATGTAAAATAGAATTCTTTTTTAAGTAGCATTGCAGCAGGCAATGAAGTGTGCTTTGGGACTTTGCTGCAGTATTTGTCCTATGGCACCTTTTGGAACAGTTAGGAAAAACCCATCCTTTTGCTAGTCTTCATTCTGAGGCCAGAATAAAGAAGAATTTAATTCTGAAGCTTTCTTTAATTTGTCATGCTCTATTAGAAGTGGTCATTGTGTACACTACTGCTGTTGGTGCAGACACACTTGCTGAAGACAGGCAGTTTTGCCTCCTCCCCTGCTTGTGCCCAAGTATGCCCTTTTCCCTTGTGTGAGTGTATGGGTTATTGTTTGCCTGGGAGAGTGGAATACTTGTTCAAACTGTACAGTTTCTTTGCTCTAGAAATTACTCAGTATGATCTTTGCTCAGTCATCATCATGAGATTGTATGCCATTTTCTTGGTATGCTTTATTTCACTTTCCATCTTTGACTTGTATTTTCTCAGTTGTGTTGCCTGACTTGTGGAAGTTCTTTCCTCTGACTCTTGTAACGATTGTGTAAATTGATAGAAAAGGGGCATATCTCTGTGTTTTAACTGAGACATGAGGCAACAGAGGGGTAAACAAAAAATCCTTAAAAAAAGCTTTTCAAATAAAGCTGCTGCGTTCTTTTGAGATCTTTATTTGTAGACTGTTCACCTACCTGTTGTCTCTCATGCCTAGGATAAATCTGTGATATAAGATCATATTGCCATCCAGACACATCCTAGGGCCTGTTTTCAGTATGTCTGCTCTCACGTCATCGTGTATCTCAGTCACCAGGATGCTTTGTCCTACTGCAGGTCATCTTGGGTTCATGGAGCCAGAACACCTGGACTTAAAATGTCACTGTAGAGCTGTGGGTTCCATTATATTCCACAGAATTAGAGAGCTGGACAATAAACTGCTGTGCTCTGTAGCCCACATATAGAGCATTTGTCTTTCATACTGTAAAGCAAAATTATTTTTAGTTCTCCTGTCATAGGATCATTTGGGGTGAGAGCTTTGAGCATAATTGGGAGAGCCACTTGGTTTGCTTTTTCCCCAGCATCGAAATGTATTTTTTCATTAGTGAATTTTCTGTGTTTGATGAGGAAGATTTCCTTTTTCTTTGCCAGAGACTTATTCAACACTGGCAGAAAGTTTGTGCAATTACTTGGTAGCTAGTGGACAGGATTGTTGGCCACGGGATTGTGTTGATATCCTCATCTGAGATACCAAATTGCTTACTGGAGCTAAAAAAGCCTTTAGTTTTCCTAAGGTGTGCTTAACATTATCCTAACAAACATCTTAGTCTCTCTATGGATAATCTATCAGCTGTGTTGTATCTAGGTGTCTAAAGGCTTTTCTAGGAATTAGTCAAACTCTTACTATCAATAAAAGCTCTTGAATCCCTGTGGGACCTTTCTTAGTCATCCACTGAGCATTCTGGTGATCTCTGCAGTGTTCTGTCTGTTCATAAAATGGCACTTCATGGTGGTTTTTACCTTTGCAAGGCAAGATGAAAAACTAAAACTTACTTAGTGATGTTGTTTACGTTGTGTTCTCCCTGATTTTTTTCTGTACTATGTTACTATTCTGCGATTTCAGCTTCAGCTACAGAATTAACTTTCCCCCTTTTTTTTTTTCTCTCCAGAAATCTCCCCATGTTATGTGTTGTGTTTAATTATTTGTATGGATGTCAACTTCTGCAGCCTTTCCCATCTAGCTCTGGAGACATCCTGTGGCCATCTGCTTTCATGGTCATGTTTGAGGGGGAGTTGAGATGGCATTAGACAAGCTGCTCCTTGTTCTTTCTTTTGAATGTTTTCTTTCTGTGAAGATCAAAAGTGATCTTCTCTTTTTTCGTGGTGTACACATCTGAAAAAAGTTATTTACAAATAAGCTTTTTAATGTTTATTCCAGGTTCTGCTGTGACACCACAAGCTGGTACAATGTATGCAACTACTACTGTATCACCAGAAGCTGGTACAATGTACTTGACCACTTCGAGTGGATATCCATATGTTTACCATAATGGAGTGGCTTATTTTCATACATCTGAAGTCTCTCCTGTTCAGCAGCCATGGCCAGTAAGGAATTTATTTTGGTATTTATGCTTTTCTATTGACCAAGATAGCTGCAGTGTTTTCAAGTCCCTTCTGCTTCATTTGCTTCAGCTATGCCTCATGCTAGATGTTTAATTGGCTTCCCTATATTAGACTTTATTTTGTGTTTGGTTGTTTGTTTTTGTTTTTCTGGGTGTTTTTTTTTTTAAATAACACTTCAGTTTATTTTGCTTCTACAGAGCACTTTTCCTTTGGTGTGACCTATTGAACAGGACAGTTCATAATCAGTCTGGGCCTTGCCCCAGGAATGAGTTTTACTATCTCTAGATAGTGATGGCCTAGTGATTTCTAGAAAGGTGTAAGTGAGTATGCCAGAGATTTTTGTTTGATCTAACATAAGCTGTTAGAGACACTGGATTTGAAGCAGTTTAAGTTGTAGGTTAAAATTTTGTGAGTCATTTTTGAAAGGGTGGGGGGTGGCTCAGTGTTATAGTACTCCAGAGCTGTGTGTAATACGAGTGACAGTTGGTGAAATTGCTGCATTAAGATTTGTAACTTCTTTTCTTTTGAAGTCTCGCTCTGTTTCCAGTTCACCTGTGATGGTTGCTCCACCTGTTTATCAGTCTCCTACGTACCATTATCAGGTATCTGTTTGAAAAAGATTTTCAGACCATCACTAATCCTCCAGCCATGCAGTACTATTTGCAGCACTGTCCAAGGTCTGTTTATTCTTAGGAAATAGTTTGTAATAGTAGTGTGAAACATATTTTATCTTAAACATATTGAAGACTTTTCTGTAGAATACAGTTTATTCTGCTTATGTAACTACACGAAAGTTTAATAAATTACATTTTCTTGTGTGTTGCAGGACAACTGGCTTATCATCTAAGCCAAACTCCTGCTCAGAGTAGGGCTGGTTAGAACATGTTGCTTGGGTGCTTGTCCAGTTGGGTTTTAAGTAGTTCCAATGATGAAGATTCCACACAACGTTTCTGGAGAGCCTTTTCCTACACTTGACCTTCTCATCATAAAGACCTTTCCCTTAAAGCTACTTTCTTTAGTGTTCCAGCTTGGGTCCATTGATTCATGTGCTCTGAGCACCTCTGTGGAGAGCCTGACTTAAGTGTTTTTGAAGTTTATGAAATGGTCAAGTTTGAGGCAGAGCAAAACCATGTTCTGGAGTAATTTGGGGCTTAGTGAAAATCATATTTCCTCTTTTTAGTTAAGAATTAATTACAGATTTGAGAATAGTAGTATTCTATGTGTGTTTTTCTTCACCACATTAGTGACATCTTCTTGTTCAATTTTAGGCACCAACACAGTGTCTTTCAAGTCAGTGGCAGTGGTCTGTTCCACAGGTAAATACAGTTCATAGTTACAGCATTTTACCATTACTTTTCCCCTAGTTTAAAGGTATGCTGTGCTTATCAAAGAGTGAGATTTCCCACTATTCACAACTTGGTTGAAATTAGTATTAATTGCTGTATTTTAGTAATGTATTTACAACATTTACTGCTACAATGGAAGGCATAAAATAGCATCTGTTGAAACATTAAATGTAAGTCTGACGTAGGGAAAGCATCTTCCCCTCCCCTTCCATTAGCAAAATGCTTGTATCAAATTACCTAACAAATTCTTTAGAAGTGGGTAAAAACTACCAAATTTCACCTGATTAAAGAAATGGATATTAACAATTAACTGATAACTGTGACATTTCATAGGGGTAGAGTTAGCAGGAGCATCTGGACACACACTGGGTGAAATTAGACCCAGGCCCTTGAAGTAGGAATAAGATATTCTAAACTTAGTCATTTTTTGGGGAGAGTTTATCTGTTTTGTAAAAGAGCAACTTAATATGGAAATCTTGACACTCGGGGACTTGAAGAGTTTGAACCTGAAGGGAGGACCAAGACACCTTAAGCTTGAGCTGTTACAATGCAGCCTCATTACTTTAATAGCAGCCAGCCTTGTCCAGCTATGGTCTGTTCCATTCTAACAGATCAATCTACTGCTTTGAAATCAGGTGCTGAATTATGGAGATACTCTAATTATTTCAAAATAAAAAACTTGTTTTGCTAGTGTAATGATGTTGTAAGGGAAAGTTTAACCGTAGTATGTTTCTGTGATTTTGAGATTAAATGTGAATTTTGCAAGTTTTAGGATTTTGCAATGCTCTCCAAAATGTAAATAAAGTCTGAAAATCATGTAAAATTAAAGGACATTTTTTTTTCTTATGCTACCTGGCCTTTCTGTCCACTTCCCTCTTGCTTAGTTTCTTTAAGTAATTAAAGATTAATTTGACACTTTATTTTAAAGGTTTATCTTTTGTTTATATGTAGCAAAGAAGACTGTAAAATAAGCTCTTCTCTTTATCCTGCTTAAATTATAAAATTTATTAGAATAATGTGTTTTGTTTCAGTCTCCTACCTCTTCACCTCCACTTCTGTATCTGCAACCATCTGAAGTCTTTTATCAGCCAATAGGAATTAACCAGGAAGGTGGATGTATATCTCCACCTCTCCTAATGGAAGCTGCAGTTCCTGAGGTATTTTTAAAAATGTAAAAAAGTGTACTGCAAATTGAAGTGCTTTTTTGTGATTGAAAAATACAGCCTTTTATTTTGAGCACTGACTGTTAGAGCAGTGAGGTCAACTGTTCCAGTGCTTACGTTGATGTTAAATAATTTCAGGTGTCCTCAAGTTAGAACTTCTCTTCCTGTCTAGGAGAATGCTTTGATTCTGAAATATTTTAGAGAGTCACAAAGATATTACAGACAGCAATATGAGGACTTGACAATTGGTTTTGTTTGCAAGTAATGTTTAAATAAAATGGGAGTTCGTTATTTGGAATCTTGGGTTGGATATCGCTGAACCACAATAGTTTTCTAAAGTAATTATTCTGTGAGTAGAAGCTTGTTTCTAAATATTCTGATCATCTGAATTAATTAAGAGTGCTTTATTGTACTTTAAAAATTTCTTAAGCATTAGAAATGTTACTGATATAGAATCAAAAAACTAAGCAAAATATACTTAATCATTCAATCAATCTCTTCATGATTGTATATTAAAAATTATAGCAGATGGCTACAGGAAAAACTGAATTACACACTTTTTCACTTTGGTATTAATTGGTACTTCTCTAATATTCATTCCCCATGAGCAGAGAGGCCAAAAGAGATGTTAAATTAGGACATCTAATTATTAATACTGGTAAGCAAGTATGATTCCAAAAGTAAATGGGTATTTTATTACTACAAGAAAAATTCCAAAACTGGTATTTCAGACATCTGAAGTGGAAAATTCTGACTTGCTGAAGTAATTTAATTTCCCTACAAAGATACTGAATAATGAAAGGCTTGGGTTATGGGGGTTTTTCTTCCTTTTTGAAGGTACATGAATGTTGGTATTTATTTTACAATCATAATTTTATTAACAGTACTATTTTACCTTACTATTTCATGATTTTGATATAAAGGTATACAGAGATCTGAAAACCATGAGCACTAAGAAAATAGATGAAATTATTTAAGGAATATTTGGATATAATGTGCTCTTGGTTTACAGGTAGGCAATTCTTTCACGTTAAAGGAAACTGTGTGTCAGATTTCAGAAGAATGGTGTAAAATTCCAAGAACAGTCTGTATTACTTGTATGTAAATATTTTATAAGTATGATACTGCTGGGAATTGCATTTTCCATGTGCTAATCTGCACATTTAAACACTGTTCCCATTAGAGCTGAGTGAAATTTTTAACGGAGAAGTTGCTACTTCTGTCAAGGAAAGTGATTTTTGACACTGATTTAAGATAAATTAAGTTTACTAAACTTTGCTAATCTGTGGGGAAAACATAGATTTAAATATTACAGTTGTGTTTTTAAAAAAGTCAGTAGTTTAGCCCACATTTTGAAGTTTTAAGGATTCTAAATTCCTATGAAAGGCTTAAAAAACTTAACATTGTGAAACAAGCTTTTTTGCTAATTTTTTTTTTTTTTTTAATGCCAGCTGTATTCTGATCATGGAGTTCAAACATTACATCACCAGCCCTATGTCCAGAGTCACATAGCCATGCCTGCCGCTGTGAGTATCAAACCAAGATAGTTACAGAAAGCATGGCAGTATTGCTGTCTTCTTTCTTGAAGCAGTGATAGTAAGACAAGAGGGGAATGGTTGTTTTATTAATTAATTGGTACATAAGGAAATAGGAAATATTGGAGAGAAAACGAGATTTTTCTTCAATTGAAGTTTTGTTACAGAGGGACAAACCTGTTTGTCTTGTTTTGGAACTATTTGGGGAAGCTAAGAAATGAAAACATGACTAGTTATTTTAAGACTGAGCTACAAAGTAAACTGCAAATAAGAAACATTTTAAGACAAAATGGTGACCCTTTTTCAGTTCTTTAAGATGATGGTTACAAATCCTTGTTTCTTTCTCTGGGTTTTGGCCTTATATTCATTACTTCAGCTTAGAAAAGCGCCTCGTGTTGCGAAGAGTTGAGATTATGAAACGCAGAAAATGAAAAACTGTCCCAGTCAGTCACCTCTGGGTGTTTTCTTGTGCAGTTCTGATTTAGAAAGACCATTTGAGTATTATTCCATGCCACCTGGTGCAAGTTGTTGGATTTTTTTGGTTTCCAGTTTAAGGTGCTCTTGCCGAAATTAATAAGGCTGTTGATGCCATTTATGAAATAATGTCAAAACTGATTTGCCTGATGACAGAGATCTAAAGTTGTCAGTAATTATACTCGATGTTACAGCACTTGCTCTTCTGTGAAAGGTGCTTACTCAGCTTCAAGTGGAAGACTAAACATGAGTGAATAAAAGTCATGTTATAAGCTCTCTTTTCCACATATTTTGAACTTATTTTGCTTTTAGCATTTTTCCAGACTATTGTGTAACAATATGTACTAGATATTTCCAGCAGAGGGGGCTGTCACCCAAGTGTTGTTTTGGAATAAAGAACCCTCTATTTCTTGCTCATTCCTTCCTGTTTTCTCAGAAGTCTTGTTACCTAGAATTAAAACTCTACTCTGTTCAGGTCTCAAGTAGATTCACAGATAGTTAAACCCTTCCAAAGACTTACTGAATTCTAATAATTTTAGTCGTTACAGGTTGGTGCTGAATTTTTAAAATCTTTGTGGTTTAGGTTTTATTTATTTAGTTAGCTTCATGTACTAGAACTACTACTAATTAATAGTTCTAAAATATAACTTTCCCTTTTAAATTTTCATACTACCTTTTCACATACCCACTTGGAGTTTGAATATGTTTCCCAGGTAATGAATGTGATCAGCTTGTATTGTGTGTCAGTGTGGCAGAGCTCTCACCAATGATTGAAAAAGGCAAATGTTGTCAGCACACTGCTATGTGTTAGGCAAGTGGCTGTGGTATTACCACCTGCTCCCCAGCTGCAGAAGGCGACTGCCTCGTGGCTGTAGTATACTTAAAATACCCCAACAAATATGTGCTGCTTGAAAACTGCCAACTAGTGGCAGTAGTAATGCCTGAAGTAATGACTGTGCCTCGGAGGTAATTTGCTAATTGCCTCTATTGCACTGTGTATTCCCAGTAAAATTGCTGGGCTTTGTCCTAGGAGCTGTAAGACAGGTGGTGAGAGTGAGATGCTACAGCTGGTATCCAGATATTTTTGTCAGTTGTAGACTTCTTACAGCTTTGAAATGCAGCTCACACCACACCATTCTCTCTGTTCTACCATCAGTACAAATAGCAGTAACTATTGAGTTACATCAACAAAATGCTGGGTTTTAGTTTTTGATAATGCTAAATGAAAATTAGAAAACAACATATTCCAACTTCCAACTATAAATTATTTTGAGATCCAAGTTTGGTGTTTAAGATCAAGTTTGAATCAAAAATGCTTTTCTCCTCCCTGTGTTCGTGTGTTTGCTAATGATGTTGAATATATTGGCTTTAAGCTTAATTCTTTTGGCAATTAATAGCATGTTCTGTTGATGAGCATGTGGAAGTGACTCCAGATATTCCCATCTATACAAATGGATAAGGCTAACATTCATTCTCAAAGGTTGCCGGGTGGCACCTTTTTTTTTAGGAAGTGAGAAGATTTCTTATCTCTACTGTATTTTTCAGATCCTGTATCATCTTCTAATATGGAGATGAGTGTTTAGATTCTTCCAAAGAGTATATGTTAAATAGTGTCTGGTAGTAAAAGTTACCTGGGCTATAGTAACAGTGGAACCTTGGGTAAGGATAGACATTTGTGATCTTTGATTTCAGGCCCAGGACAAATATCTGTGAATTAAGTTTGGTTTTGTTAAGTGTTTATTTGAGGTTCTGGCACGCTGGCCTGGTAAATGTTAGTTGTATATTTTGTGTGTATATGAGGTAGCCCCGTGAGGCCTGAGGAGCTGAGCGCACAATTGCAGTCTACACAGTGAGCAAAGTGTAAAAGGTTCTGGCACATGGACTGAGTGGGTGCGTAGGGTTTGTTTTATTTCATGCTTTCAGCCTTTTTTTTTTTTTATTATCTACCCTTTTGAGCTGCAGTGTCCTCTTTAGGGATAGGCATGGTTCTGGTCTGTTGCAGTTACAGCTTTTCCCATATTTTGTGTCAAGCAGTGTTTTTGGGTGGCATCAACAGTACCAGACAATAAAGTGTGTTTTGTGCTATAGTTCATGGATGCTTGCATTCAGATCATAATGGTGCATGATGGCCTTTGCATGGTGAGTGTTCTGTAACTTTAACTGAACATAGCACACTGTTTTTCTCTGCAGTTAAGAGTAATAGGGGAAGATTTGTGTGCAGTGTGTATAATACATATAAATGTACACGGGTTGTAAATGTTTGTATAGATACACATACAAGTAGGTTTACGTAAATTGTGTCATAAGAGTTCTGGTGTAATCATTTGGGGAAAAGTTATTTTATGCTTGTACTGCATGTTATTGTCTGATATTCCATCTGAAACAACAAAAAATATTGCTGCATGTTTTCTGTACAGGTAAGTGAAATTGAAAGAGGCTAAGCTTTTGTTTATAGATATGTGTGAATCTAAACTTCTAGTTATATGATTGCCAAGAGACTTGTCACTAGTGGCAGCTAGGTCTGTTTCCTCTAAAATGGCTATTTTAAACTCCACTTGCTAATTTGATATTAACATGGAAAGGTACAGGGAATGCATGCTTTTTCTCATGTTACTTCATTCTGTGTCCTCTCTACAAACTTCTCTTTTTCTTTTCTGTTTGTTTGCTCTTACTTCATTTCAGTGGTTTTTTACTTTTGCTTTCTCTTTACAGGATGACCCTATAGAGAATTCACTATTTAAGCATTTGGGCCACTCTAATCTATCTTTACTGATTAATTTTTTTTTTTTTTCTTTTTGTGACCAGTCCTTCCTGTGTGGCTGAGATCCATCATCACCATAACAGCTAGCAGCTGCCAGTTGTGGCATTTGGGGTCAGTTGTTTCATTGCAATGCTTGCTATTTATGAGTTAGTGAATAATAAAACGTGCTCAGTTCTAGCACAGTCTGCAGCATCACTTGCCTGCTTTCTGCAGTTTGATGCTTGCTGATAATTGTCTTCATAAACCAAACTCTGTATAATCAGTCTCATTCATTCCTGGGATGGTAATGTATATGTAAACTCCATCATTTTAATTAAACTGCCTAAGTTTTGTATGGGTTTGGATTGTTTTCCTTCAGTAAAAATGCAGTTTTCTGTACTTCCAGTGTATGATTCTTTTGTTTCTGAAAACTGTTTTTTAATTTCCTTTTGACAACTTCTTTCCTTTTTCTCCCTATTTTGTGCAATTTCCAGTAGCTTGTGTTTATAGGGAAGGTGCACTGTGGCAGGTGCTCAAACATGCTTTTACTGTGAAAATGCTGCCTTTTTGTTGCTTACACTTTTTTAAAAAATTAGGATTTTGTTGAAAGGAGGCCTAGGGAGCAATATGTGTTTTGCACATCTTAGAGTCAATTTCTGACTTGATAGCCTTTAAATACCTGACTGATTTGTAGCAGGGCCTTGCTGTATGTTAAGATGTGCCTGTATGATTTACCCCCAGCTGTGGCTTTTAAACAAATATTAGAAGCCTACCAGTGTAAAACTGAGCATAATTTTCTCAGTAGACAAAGAGAATGTGTTTGTGTCCTACCTATACTAATAAGAGTTAAACTAAAGAAAAAGAGAAACACATTGGGGTTGAAATCCTGTAAAGTGCTTATGAAAACTGAAAAGTATGGAACCTGGGAAGTTTTGAAAAGCAGTGCACAACATGATGGGGAGTTAGTAGCTAAAGAAAAGAGACTGATATATTGAGATTATAGTGGTTTGGATATCCTGGTAGAGGTGTATGAACTGCAGCTGGTTGTATTAGGAAGCCATCAGAGCCAGAAGGGAGAGTAAAAAGTTAAATTAAAAAAAAAAAAACAAAAAAGAAGTTAGTGATGAAAGGGCCTGGCCTAAGAAATAAGGTTAGAAAAAAAGGACATTCTGAGTCTGTCATATGACATAGTTAAGTAAAGAGTAAGGGCATGGACAGTGTACCTTTGGGATATAGAGCAGCTGAGATAGGGGGACTGTAGGAGTTTGATCTTTGGAAGAAGAAACAGAATAGTACAAGTATTCTAAAATCTGTTTGTACCATTACCTAAAATGGTAGCTGTGTTTTCTGCATCTTGTCATCCTTTTGTCAGCAGTTGGTGGTATCCACTGAAAAATTATGTAAGCACAGTCCATTGCTTCTCAGTTTACAAATAAAACAGCTTTCAGGTTGTTAGCTCAGGTTTTATGTGACTAAAAACTTAATGTCAACGTTATTGTAAGTACCATAGTAAAGCATTGCTCTAATCTACATTACAGAGAATGCTGAAGGAAAAAAAAAATTGAATTGGTTGCATAGGTTTTCACAGAATACTTTGTAAAAATAAATTTTCCCCATCCAATTATAAAGAGGATACGATACAATTGCTTTAATACCTTGACATCCTTTAGTAAGACTGTATGATAAATGAACAATACTGGGTTATTTTTTTTCAGTAAAAGAATTCTGAACTCATTCTAAGATTGCATGCTTGTAAATAAAGGAGGGTATTTCCTGCCACTGTGGGCTTCATGACCTAGGTTCATAAGAAAAATGTGTTTTTCCTTTTTGAACCAAATCTGTCCAGCTGATGCAATAGAGGACTGTAACTATTCATTGAAGCATTATTAATGCAGTAAATGGGACACACTTTGGAACGGAAGAAACAACCCAGCACTTTTCCCTCTCTTTAGGAATTGAGGTCGCATTCTGTGAGAAGAAATGTTCTGCATCATTCATCTGTGAGTCTGAAACCTCAGTGTGCATGAAGTCATCAGTTTCATCCTAGAAAAGATTACAGAATGGAAGATAAAACTTTACAGTGCCTTCTACAGATGTAAAACGCTGGGGTTTTTAGATTTGTATTTTGCTAAAATACCTGTTACAGGGTGGGTGTGTTCTTCCTAACTTCTGACATTTCCTTGCAGGTTCCCCAGTTAAAATACCACTATTTTTTGTCAAGTAATACCTTGAAATTTTGTAATTTGGTCAGGTAAAAACACATTAAATAATAATTTTATCCCTGCACTTCCTTTTTTAATAAAACCCCTGTTACAGGACAGGAGGGTGATTTCTGAAACACAGACTGCTGTATGTATTCCAGTTACTAACCCAGACTGTAAACCAGCTTACTTCTACTGAAGAGATAACATCACCTTTAATTTCTGGGTTACATAAACTTCAGTGATACATTAGTTACAAAGTTGAAGCCATTTTGCCACATACAGCATTTTTGTACTGTGGATAAAATCTAGTTGTTTAAATCTATGTGAATTTAATTTCCAGTCCAAAATTATTTGTCTAGCTTAATTTTTCTTGCTATCAGTATTCTCTACTTTTATAAGGTGTTTTACTTGTGTGTCATTTTAGTGTTTGAAGTAAAAACTTTTTAAAATAAAATTTGGACCCCTAGTTTAATAATGATTTGTTCTCATTCTAATATTTTTCTTGCATATGCATTTGGTTTTATAGTATGTTTTTAGCTATTGAAAAAGGAATGAATTGACTACTTGAATTAGAAAAAGCAATGAAAATTTCTTTGCTGCTTTGGGGTTTTCTGTTGTCTGTATGAAAATAACGAACTCCCTGGCAGTATCACAAATTGAGATGAAGGACTATTTTTTTCCTTAATTTCAGGAAAATAATTTTGGTTTTTGGTCATGGTGTGCTGTTCGTTTAGTTTTTGTTTCTCCCCTCACCTCCTAAGGTTTCCTTCTATTCATTACAAAATCAGATTCCCCAAAGGTTGAAAACGCAGCCTCTGTATTTACAGGATTGCAAGGTATGGTTTATTGCTTCTGTAGCACTGAAGCCTTTATTTTTTGTATCTAAAATATCCTTGAGTTATTCAGCTTTATCTGTTTTGTAGTAATTTGGGGGTTTTCTTTTTGTGTGGATTTGTCTTGTTGGTACTTTCTTCCTTTTAATCATTCAGAGGTCTTGCCAAACAGACACTGTAGTCAGTGAATAATCCATGTATGATATGTAAATGTCTTTAAAGATTCTTCTGGCGTTCAGTTGTGCTTTATGATGTTGTCCAAGAAGAGAGTTGGATGCTGGTTCTGGTTTTATGCTGTTTGAAATTGTTAGAAAAGGAGATGCCATGTATTAGGTCTTGGTTGCAAGTTTCCTCAAGTGACTTTGCACTTTCTGCTAGGTAGAAAAATGTACACAAATATATTTTTAATAGTTTCTTTTTTAACAATTTATTGCTGTAGCAGGTGTAGTAGATTCTTTTACCAGTATCAAAAGAAGTCGACCCTTGTTTTGGAGACATGTAGAGCCTGTTTTTGAAGGGGAAAGTATTCATTTGTTTTAGGTTCTCATGTTTCTGAGCAAGTCTGTACCACTAAACACATCTGTCCAGTTCTGTTTAATTTTCACATTTTAGATCTCGTCAATACAAATTTATCACAAAAATCTTGGCTCATCAAAGCCAGTTCGTTTCCATGGAAGAATTTTTACTTAGTAAGTGTTTTTAAATGAAATTTTGTCTCTGAAGGTACCAAAGAAAGATTGTTTTGTTGGAGCCTTACTTCTTGTGTCAGGAAACACACGTTTGACCCAGGATTCTGGAGATTTAGTCTTAAGCCTGTATTTTTTAAATCTGCACTTTGTTTACAAATGTGACTTGCCTGTTTTTAATTGTGCTTCAGAGATTCAAGAAGTAAATTTTACAGTGAGTGCTAATTTCAAAGAAGAGTGCTTAGAGGGAAGTCTCTTGAACTAATTGCTTGAAAGTGTACAAATACTGTGCAGTCACATGTCATCAGATTGTGGCTCTATTCCAGGCACCCACAAAATGTAGTTTATTTTCTCTTAATTGGTGCAGATGTTGGATTGTTGATAATGAGTTAATCCCATGGCCTTTGCTTCAGAGATCACTCGCTTTCTTTTTACTTGCATGTGAACTTGATTGTTTGTGAGGATACTCAGTGTCAGGCACTTAACTGTGTGTTCCTGCAGTGTTCCCCTGTGGGGTGTGTTACATCAGTCTGGAGGCACTGTTAGCTAGGATTGTATCTTCAGGTCTTAACAAAGCTTTGTTTTGGTTTGAGAGACTGAGAAGAAACCAAGTAACTCTGAATATTGGTTTTCCTCCAGGAGCTGGCAGTCACTTGAAATACTGAGGCCTTTTCATTTGTAGTGTAGCTCATCTTTGTTCAGAGTGCTTGCCAAGAGTGGTGGCGTGACATCAGACAGCAGTGAGTGAACCAACCTTTCAGGAGCTGAATCTCCCTGTAGGCACTGTTGAGATGTAACTGACTTACCTGTGTGAATCCCTGGAGTTGAATTAAATGTGTACTGGGGAAGAGCTACATTTCCTCAGTGCCTACAGTTGTGCTGTTTTGATGTTCTGGCATTCATGAATTCTTGTTCCTTTACACTGCACAGTCCTATTCTGCTAGTTCAGCTTTCTGGAATGTGGAGATTCCCATGCTGTTAAACAGAAGTAGTTTAGTTTACTATAAATCCTCAGATGAGGATTTGGGGGGTTGGAGAAAGTTCTCTTGACCTTCTGCAGTTTCCCACTGATAATAGTGAGGCTCCACACTCATGCTAGGAGAGAATGTATCCCCATGTGCCCTGTGGGCGTGCAGTAACTGATAGCAAATCACCTTTATGCATTGGCTCTCACATTTCCATATTAGCAAACTAAGTTAATTTTTTAGCTTCCACCCCTTTAGAATTTAGGAGAACTGGTTGGTATCTTCGGCTGAGAACTGGTTGGTTTTCTACTGAGCTAGCTGTTAGAGTTTCTAGCAACTAGAATTTCTAGCAACTGCTGTCTGCTTATGTTACATTTCCATTGCAGAAGGTTAGT